ACGCATATAATAACCTAAATTGTTACTGCTTGGGATACAGCAACACACCGCAAGTGCATCGATCCATCTTGAGTTTGACAAAAAAGAAAGAGATCTGCAGATATGTGGGATGAATAAGTACAAGTTGGCATGAAGGATGTAAAATTATTGTGCATCGGTAGTACCGGTTTCACGGACGAAAACTTAACATATCTTCTCTCACTTTCTCCCGTACCAACGTTTTGTGCATACGTGTGCACGCTTACACAGGCAGATTGTATAATGACTGCTCATGTGATGGACATTCGAGGTACACATATCCTACGCAAAAGTCCACTTCCTCCGATCTATTTAAAATTCCGTTTCGGATGACACATCCGATTTAATAAACCCTTGGTACACATCAACTTGGTTCTGCTCGCACCTATCATCATCTTGATGAACTGTTGCGGTGGTGGTATCGGAACAATCGCATTGAATTTAGCCATCCGAATGAAAACTGTGTAGATCTAGATCTTGTGTGCATGACATAGTGTGTGATACAAGATTTTGAATGCACTTTCTATCATGGAAAGCTCATTCAACGTCTACAGGTTATTGCGCTCCACCAAATATGAAATTGAAATGTATTTGCAAAAGTAAACTGCCATAGGATTGAACAATCCAGTCTCTCAATGATTTTCCAGTGCAGTTTTAGAAATTCTTTGCATTCAGTTATCCATTCATTCGTTTGAATGAACAATCTACCACGATAATACAAACCGTTATCTGTCTACGAACTCTGCAGTGTTTTCCACTGGGAAATGCTTCATACCAATACATCATTTATCATCTCAGCTGACAGCGCTGACAGAATTTATTTACAATCTGGTCAGCTCTTTTAGGCGATTAACAACTGAATTGTTAGTGTAATGTAGATGATCGGACTTTATCCATTGAATCAACGGGAAGTAGGTCATCAGAGTTCACACGACTCTGAAGGTTGATACTTCAGTTCTCACATCGAAGGGTCATGGTTCGAGAAGTACCGCAACAAAACTGAAACACCTATTCAGTGCACAGTTTTATCCACTAGAAGCAAATGCTATCGCGTGCACAAGTAAAAGAGAAGCACTGATTCAAATCCCGATGTACAAAGAAGACATACGCGTCTTTTAAGTGATTCAATAGGCTCACCTTATGGGCCCTGTCAATTATGACAGTAGCGATCATGCATCAAAAAGCGATACAGTTAATCAACTCTTGCATGTGATCTTACTTGCGTTTAGCTCATACCTTCGTGACCCTAATGTTGTGGGTAAACGTTGTGGAATCTGTCACTCTGAACACCTGTCATCAAAATATCTCTGCTTTTCGTTGGAGTACCGTGACGTCAACAACTGATACGATTCCAGAAGCTCAAGCAGTTGGTTCATTGAATGAATGAGTCTTCAGGTACCAGTAAAAGTACCTATCCATAACTTTTACAAACCTCGCATATTGAATGGTCAGTGATCTTTGTTATCACTTCAGTCCAGAGTACATACCTCGATGGTTCCGAATATGTTCGTTAACTGGAAATTAGTTGCGCCGCGGAAATCCTCCGCGCGCAGGTCTTATAAAAACCGCCATGCATTGTGTTCTGTTTGCACTGCTTTAAAACGAGAATGAGATACTCTCAAAGCATCTGATTGGTGCCCAGTTGTCAAAATGTATTTTGAATTTGTTTGACTGCATTGCATATATGTATTTCTTGAACCACCTTCATATAATACGTTTTTATAAGGTGCAAATGTTTCTGTCCATAGCTGATTACCTAATTACCGGGATCATTGGATACAGGTCTCTCCTACTAAAGTTTTACAGACCGCACATGATCAGAAAACCGCACTAAATATATAAGTTTCACCCTGAGCCGTTGAAAAATATGAAAACTGAAACATTCCGTTGAATATAACTAAAAATATGTAACTTTGACGATAGTTACTTTGTAGCACTACAGAATGTTCTGGAAGACTGTTTGTATACTTCATCATTAGAGATTAGGCTTCGGGGTTGTCATACGATTCTCTCAGATAAAACACTTCTTGATGACTCACAAACTTGGTTTTCGGAATTCAACACCATGTTTTATACAATTCCTGATCTTCCACTTCGATGCAGTCTTCTTCCTTAAGGGAAGAGTGATGAAGATCTCAAAAAGAACGTCTGTGAACAATGGTTCGCATTTTTGTGGCGCATGAATTTATACTACTTGTAATCTATCAATCGTCTGGCCTAATTCGTTAAACCAAACGAATATTTCCAGTCTCATATTGGAATAAACGGATCAAAGGACCCCACAGAACCGATATTTTTAACAAAGTAAAACCGAGGGTGAGCGTTTAAGGAAAACATTACCATCTGTAATAATCGAGTCCAGAGGTATGCCTCTCAATAACCTTTCTTATGATTTTTGCTAGCTAACGTCCGTGTTTCAGTTGACCCATCCATTTGTTACGCTAGGTTTGGTACAATATCACATCTTGCTTACCATATCCTGGCTGTAAGAACTGTCCCGGTCTGAAAGTTGGAAATTATTCGAACTGTAATGAGAAATTCATAAGTTATACCTACGTCTATCGATAATAGTCCACCGCAAATTGTTATTGATTCCGAGTTCCTATGATCCTTTGTTCTCTCGTGTAAATAGCCTCGTGTGCGCTTGTTTCTTGTTCGAGGTGAGGTGCCATCCGAGGGCTATCTGCTTGAAGTCCCAGCCCAATTGTCCTCGCTGCGATCTCAAGGTGTGTTTCTGGCTCTTCAATACGGGAACGGGAACGAAAACGGATCGCATCTTTCAGGTTCCATGCTTCAGAAGGCTTGGATCTGGTGTGGTCTGGTTGCGTCGGAAACATGCAAAAGAGTAGCTCGATACATAATGGATCGACTGAAAGATAGGTGATTTGTCTGACCGTTGTGTCTATTGTGGCCTTTTTGTTTCTTTCACTGTTTGAACAGTTTTTATGTGGGCTGCTGTGTACTTAGTTGAGGGTCTGGTTCGGCATTCCGCAAACTAAATTCTACTTGTGCGACAGTCTTCATGTTCATATGTGATTCAGATTGCTATCGCACATTTTTACAAAGAACATCCTTGAATTCATTTTTTATTGCTCATCTAGATGTAAATTACTTGGAAATATGAGTGCATATCGAAAAGTAATTTAAAGTTCGGACAGACATCAAAAATACTGTCTTGAGAATAACTGTGCCCTATGAGAACTTTGTCGATTACGCTCGTTGAATAAGAACACTCCTGATGCACATCCTTGCGATGTGCATTTGATAGGATCAGCTAATAGAGTCGAGTTTCTCTTTTCCTTAGCTCCGCTGTGCCGCAATGTGTTCGCTCAGTGGAATAGAGTTCGCACACAACTGTTCGGGTGGCAAAATGGATGGTTGCCGTTGTAAATGAGGTCAATTTGTGGTAGATTGTGGTCTCCATTCTTCCGTCAAGTTACCCATCAGAAGAATACAGAGGAAGGAGAGTTGTTCATCTTTCTCTTTCCCTAATGTGAAGTTGATTCCAAGCACCTGCTCTTTGATGATTAGGCGCAACTGATCTACTAGGGAAGCTCTGAGTATGCCGAATGTGTCGTCCACATCCACAGACGAAATTGTGGAATTTCAAAAGCTTTGACTTCGAAGTGCTTCATAACTGCATCCGCAAGCAGGCCTGAGAGTGGTGAACCCATAGAAGTTTCTCGTACCTGCTGGTACATCTACACGTCGAATTGGAAACAGATTTCCATACCGAGTTCACTAGCGTTGTCCTTGATTGCAAATTCTGTTCGTTTTGCAATAGGCTTCAAATGCTTTCGAGGGCTTTTTTATTACACACCTAGGTGTGATGAACAAGAGACGGGGTAAACCCCATAGTCACGAGGACCCGCTGTTCAGTGGTTGAAATCGGCAACCTAAGCCCCGGAACTTGGAGTGGCGAACCACATAAGGACCCGATAGGTTAGGCTTGGTATTGAACCGGACGACAGCAGAGCTGCCTACGGTATGTTTCTAAACAGTGAGGTCATGTCTAAAGAAACCATCATTTCGTTTGGTCCTATCATCATTCCTTTGGTGCTTTACAGGAATACCGTGGGACTATTTGTATCATTTTGGTTCGCAGGTAGGGATGGACGTAGTAGCTGAAACGGGTATCTTGCGAATTTGTAGTTGGGTGCTGGTGTGGAGCGATGAAAGGTTGTAATGGCATATACATATCGTTGTACTGCAGAGTTACTGACCAATGCATTTGGGCTGGAGCCCTGTCGTTTAGTGTTGTCTTTAAAAAATTAATATCAACTCAATGTAACCCACTGCGTAATAGCATACTCCCTATTCGTGCAGTTCTTGAAATGTGGGAATTCGCCACTCATCACTTTAATCGAACACGTGTGAGAAACAGGCTGGTTTTAGACCTGCTCGAGGTTGTATCGACCTCATCTTCACTCTCCTCCAAATTCTCGTGCACCTTTATTTCGTAGACCCACATTCTCTGTTTTTCTCGATTTGAAAGCGGCTTTCGACTTAGTCGACCGCTCTAAATTCTGGCGCTGCCTTTCCCTGAAGGGTGTGCCTGAGAAGTTAATGTCAGTATTACGATCCCTTTATACTAATAGCCGAAGCCTAGTCCTAGCTGACGGCACTTTTTCGAACGAGTTCACCACGGAAGGTGGTGTTCTTCAGGGTTACTCCCTCTACTCTTTTCTACTCAACTTTGTTATAGATCTGATTATGGAAATATCCCTATCCTCATACCAGAATAGTGACATCGATTTGCTCCCAGGTGGTAGACCGTCTGATCTGGAGTATGTGGACGACATTGTGCTGCTATGTGAAGATCCAGGTAAGTTGTAAGCTTTTCTGGATAGTTTGAGTGCTAGTGTAACCAGGTTCAGTATGCGTTTTGCACCTTCAAAGTGTAAAATGTTACTACAAGACTGTGTTGGTCCAACACCTAGCCTCAGTCTAACTAGGGAAGTAATAGGGCAATTGGATAAGTTTTGTTATTTAGGCAGCTAGATTTCATCCGGTGGACGCATCACGGATAAAGTTTCAGCTCGCATACAGAAGACTCGGTCGGATTCGCCAACTTGAGATATCTGTGTCGCCGTCGCGACATCCGGTTGTCTGTGAAGGGTTGAGTGTATGCCGCGATAGTCTGACCAGTCCTGCTATGCGGCGCAGAAACCTGGTAATTAAGGAAACAGGACGAAGATAAACTGTCGGTGTTTGAACACCGGTGTCTACGCAGCATTGCACGAATCTGGTGGGATAGCCGGACGAGCAATGCTGAGGTTAGGCGCAGAGCTTTAAGTAAATGCGGTCGCCCACTGGAGCAAGTGGTCGACCACCATAGATTACGTTGGTTAGGACATGTGGTACGCATGTCACCAGATAGGTTGCCACGGTGAGCGATGTTCGCCGAGGTAAGTAGTGGGTGAAAGAAAGCCAAGGGTGGTCAAGCTTAGATCTGGTACGAGGGCATGAAAACCCTAACCAGGGAACTAGGTCATATAGGTCCCGTTAGGCTCCGTGGCTGCGGACCTCGGGATGATCGTAACCGATGGCTAGAGACACTGAGTGATATGGCTGAGTGTCGTAAACAGTGGCGTTCGTGCATCTTCGCAATTTCTT